CATTTCTCTGATAATTAGTGATGTGGAGCATCTTTTCATGTGTCTGTTGGCCATCTGTATTTCTTTTTTGGAACTGTTTTGGTCTGTTAAGTTCCTCTGCCCATTTTTTAATTGGATTATTTGTTTTTTGTTTGTTGAGGTGGGTGAGCTCTTTATATATTTTGGATGTCAAGCCTTTATCGGATCTGTCATTTACGAATATATTCTCCCATACTGTAGGGTACCTTTTTGTTCTGTTGATGGTGTCTTTTGCTGTACAGAAGCTTTTCAGCTTAATATAGTCCCACTTGTTCATTTTTGCTGTTGTTTTCCTTGCCTTGTTTCCTCATTTTTAAAGTGAATTTGTTCCCTGCCATCCTGAGGCTGACCACTGAGTCATTTTGGGTCACAAACTTGGAGTATCTCATGGGAAACATGGCATTTCCCAGCCATCTTCCTCTAGCCTTGAGTCCTGGGCAGTCTGTACCAGGACAGTGGAATGGGAAAGAGGTGTGGGAGGCTCTACTGAGAGAGGCAGAGAGCAGCCTGGGAAGGGACAGCAAGGCTGAGGGATCTGAGGGCTTCCATAGTCATTCATCCTGAAAAGGCTCTGGTCTGTTAATCTTTTTATAAAGTTTTTCAGGTCACCTTAGAAATAGCTGAACCCATCTTTAAAAGCTTCCTCAAGCAGTCAGGAAAGGAAAACAGCTTGAAGCCCTGGAAAGGGCATGTTTGGCCCCAGATCTGACAAGGAAACTGTGAGGAAAATTGAAGTTCTTATGGCCAGGATCCTTACCTGACCCTAAACTACTTGATGATGTAACTGGCCTGCTGCTGGACTACTGCTTCCACACCCGCAGGTGATTAGCTATTACTGACGGAGTCACTGTATAAAGAGCTCTGCCCAGTGTTCTGCATGGAGGTGAAGACAGAGGAGGATTACGGGCTTGCAGACTGCTGGAGGCCAACAATTCTAGTGCTCGACCTACTGCTGGGAGAATAAAGCCGGGTATAAACCCTTTTACCCCAAGAACATTCAGTTGTCATTCCTCAGTTTCACCAAATCCATAGTGAATTTCCATAGTGAATGCTGCTCCCCAGCATCAGCCCTGAGTTAGCCTCCTTCCCTGGCTACTGGGGAAGGCTGGCTGTTCCCCCAACATGTCTTCATAGACTAATGGTCTGAGTGTGTGAGGGTGAAGTCCAGAAAACCTTAGGCACTTCTTCCATCTCTGACCCTTCCTCACTCTCTTTCTTGGGCCCAAAGGAAACCCATAGCTCTTTCCTCACTAACCCTTCCCCTGAAAATCCCATCAATCCCATCTACCCTGTCCACTGCCTACCGCCAACCCCAATTCCTGACCAGAGCTACACTGAATCATTGGCCACTGCTTCCTACAATCCCCATCTGAAAAGATGACTGTCACCACCCAGACCAGAAACTCTGCCTTCATCCTAGCATGACACCCCCCAACACACAATTGACCACGGGCAGATGGCCGTACCACTCCACACTCAGGACAACTGTACACCTGATAGGGAGAGTTCGGCTAGGTGACTCAGGGAATTCAGAGAGACAAAGTGAGGAAGGAATTCATTAAAGTAAGAGTGTTAGGGAATAACAGAATAGAATAATAAAGGAAGTTCATTGAACAGCTACTCAGCATGGGGCAAGACCCCTGCCAACTCCTTAAGCCAGGGTCACCTGGCATGCAGTGTCTGCTTGGATCTGCAGGGCTAGGAACTGAGTCCCTACCACCCCAGGCTTTGGGGGAGCCCCAGAGCACTGGATGGAGTGAGATTATGTTCTGCGAACTTCCTATAGGTAAAGAAGGGAGACTTTCAGACAGGTTACTGAAGAGCACGACTGCAAACTGCAGTTCCTGGTCACTGAGGCGAAGGTTATTTGCAAGCCCAGGTCTGAGGGCTCAGCAGCCCCTCCTTACTTGTCTGAGGTAGGATGGAGTGAAGGGTAAAGCCAGAATTAGGAGGATTAGAATGACAAAGCAAAGTAATAAAACACTACAGGAAAGGCGCAGAGACAATGCGTTTAATTGAGAAGTTTATTTAAGGCAAAAGGAGCACAGTTGGAGAAAGGGGAGTGCGGGCGACCTCAGAGAGAGGACGCCCCCTGAAAGGTTGAGAATAGAGAGTTTAAAGGTTACACACTTAGAAAGTGTGGGCAACCCCAGAGAGAGGAGCGCCCCGAAAGGCTCCCTCTTTTAAGGATTCTTCAGGAATGTGACGAAGGGCTGGGGTGCAGACTTGTTAAGTGGTCTTTGACTACTTAGAATTAACTTAACCCAAGGAACTTCCTGCTCTGATTTCTCCCTGGGATACCAGGGTCTTGGTCTGGGAGCAGATCAAACAGCTTGCCTGCCCAGCCCTCAAGGTGGGCTGAGTTGTTGTCTGTTTGCTAAAGAGTAAGTTAAGAATCTTACATTTTTAACACATTTAAAATACAATCTTTAAGATGGAATCCTTCCTGCCTTTCACTATGTTGTTTAAGGCTGGACCTGCATGCTAAATTAGTTGCCTAGGTTACAAATTTAGGGCCAGAAGGAGAAAAAAACAGCATATAGGTAAAGGTAAAAAAATAAGCTGGGCCTGCATGATTAATACAATAAAGACATGGGCTATGCTTGAAGGGTTCTGGCTCAGTCTGTGCACGGGAAACAGGTAATGGGGGCAAAGCCGCGATAATTTTGGGAGGCTCTCAGGACCGAATCTGAGGGGGCAAAGACGGACGAGGCTCTTGGAACTTAGTTAGAGGGGGACTGAAAGGCTCAGGCTCGATTTGCGGGAGGGGGGAAGGTGAGGGGGACGGAGGA